AAAAGCTAGACAAGCCATGCCATATCTCAAGCCTTCCGGTACACTTAAGGGGAAGGGCAAGGGGAAGGGCAAGGGGCAAGGGCAAGGGGAAGGGCAAAGGGCAAGGGGCAAGGGGGTGTCACACGCACAGCTACAACTCCCGTGCGCGACGAACCCATTTCATGTACATCGGCGGGCGTCGTATTCATGCCGCAAAGTCGAGCCACCAAGGCAATCAACGAATGGAGAAGCTCCCCACCGTTTATCCCCTCCGACTCTTTTTTGGCGCAGTTCAAGCTGGGTCGGAATGGGGTATTTGTTCATGCTGCTGAAAAAAGCGGGCAGCCAATAAATGGAGAAAATCCCCCGCCGGTTTCGCACTCCGTTTTTGTTCTTGGCGCAGTTTAAGCTTGACCGAAAGGCTGTGGCGGCGATGGTAAAGCTGCAGCCCAAGGACCTCGACAAGATCTGCGGCGACATGGTGGTGAGATAGAGAGGAGGGGAGAGAGAGAGGGGGGGAGAGAGAGAGATGGAGAGGGAGATAGATAGAGAGAGAAGGAGAGACAGAGAGGAGAGACAGAGACAGAGACAGAGACAGAGACAGAGAAGCAGAGAGGAGCCGAACGCCCGACAGGGATTTTGCGGACTTTGTATGCATCCGGCCGATCTTCATTTGTCGGTCTGGCCTGCGATTTTTGCGGGTAACGTCCCAGGTTGCCGTCTATTTTACGTGCTTGTTCTCTATTCGTTTGTGCGTTGGCGTTTCCATTTCGTTGAGAAGAGTTCAAACCCACTTGATGTCATCAAGAAGACTGAAGTGCCCTTTTCTTTCGCCGGGTGCCATCGTTTTTCATTGTTCATCTGCGGTGCCCCCCCGAAACCACCGCCTAGAACTGACGGTGTGCATACCGCACCTTCTAGAAAACGAAAACTCATCAATTCTCGCTTGTCCCCACCCTCCCCCCTCGTTCAACTACACCACCCCCCGCCGCCGGACCACCTACAACATCAGCGCAATATATATTTCTTGCGCCGTATTTTGTGTTCTGACTCCAACTCCCCCCCTTTTGCACCTCCTTCTCTCGCGTGCTTTCAGGCAAAGTGCGGCCCGAGTGGGCTCGAACACGCCGCCAAGGTGTTCCGGGTGGAAACCCCGGGGTCCGGGGATAGGGGACAAGAAGCACACAAGGGGAAGGGGAAAAGACCGCTCTCCCCGCGGGATAGAGGAGGGGGGGGGGGCGGTGAGGAATCCCCGGCAACGGCGACCACAACACGCCTCGATGAGCTTGTGGACGGGGATAGGTCGCCAGCGTCCGCGCAGCAATCTTCAGGTGTGGTTTTTTATTATTTGCATCGACCGCGTTAGCCGCCTGACCAACGAAGAGGCGTCAGTCTCAGTGCGGTTGAAAAGCACAAAATGCTTCCGAAGGCCGTGATCCGGGAGGGTGTGCGTGTGTTTGTGTGGCGATTCATATTCTCTAGAATGGGCCTGCTGAGTATCGTCCCCCGGGAGCCCCAAGTCACCGCACTATCCCTTCCCTCTTACTTGTCCCCTGGATGACAGAGGGAGAAGTTGCTACATACCATGGCTGCACCACCTCTCTGTCTCAGCCTCCATCCTACTGGGAAAACCGACCCCTTGGCAGTCTCGTCCAACAAAAACTCGCTCGTAGATGACTTTCTGTCCTGTTTTCTTCTTGCGCGCCCCAAGCCCCCGACGTCTTCTTCTTGGGCCACCGTGGCGACATTCCAGTACTCGCATTGCGGCCTGCTTTGGCCGATACTTAAAAGTCTCACCTACAGTAGTCGTAGAACTCAACTTTCGTTCATGTTGCTAGGGGCCTTGTGGCCGTGAGTCGCGCTGATCACGTAGTAGGTCGTCATCTCACACGAAAGTCTTTATCTTGCCACGCTGCGCGCACAAACTTACACTCTGCCCCCCCAACACCTAAACATAAATAAATAGGTCGACCTGCGTCGGGAGGGAGAAGAGGAGGAGGAGGGCGCACTGAGAAGCGGATCGACTTCCTAGAGGCCGGGAGGGCATCATCGTCGGTACCGACGCACGCAGCTGTGGCGGACCCCGCGGCCCCTTTGAACGCCTTCGTGAAGCGCCTGCAGAGGCTGGAGTCGAAGAGCTACGCGGAATGGTGTCGCCAGGGCGGGTACGCATAATAAAGCTTGGTAAATAAATAAATACGTGCGGGAAGAATTTCAAATGCGGGAAGATTTTTTTTTTTAAGTGCGGGGAGGCTGGAATGCTGTCAACGACAGAGAGCCTAGCTGTGCTGTTTGGGTGATGTTTTTCGTGCCTTCGCTGGAAAAGGGCGCGTGAAATGGGAGCGTCGATGAACACCCTCAGGCTTGGAAAGGGGTGCACACACGGCTATCTAGCTTCTCGAGGCTAATTGTTAGCATTTGCATTGTTGTTGGTTTCCTTTCTCCAGTGCTTGGTATCGGTATTTGCGACTCGGCTTCCCTCGAGTGATTGGGAGAAATGTGCTCTTTTCTTCCGGGGGGGGAGGGCGTACTCTCATGTTTTGTATGCCTCAGAGATGAGACCATTGACCACGTGTGCTTTTGAGGACGGAGCATTGTTGCGGGGGGGGGCGTACTCTTATGTTTTGCATGCCTTAGCGGTTATACCATTGACCACGCGTCCTCGAGAGGACGGAGCGTGGGGGGGGGGGGGGGTGTACTCATAGTCGTGCATGCCGTAGTCGTTTGACCATTGACCTCGCATCCCTACAAAGCCGGGACGGAGCACGCCGGGTTCTCACCGGACCAGGCTCTCACATCACCAAGCGCGAAGCGCCGTGAGGTATTTGGCGAGTCGCATGAAGGGTGAGCTGCATCCTGCTAAGGGTGTTCGGCATCTTGTGCTTACTTCCTTGCGTACGGATGACAGCTACGTATGACTTAATTTATTTTCTGGTGCTTTCACTTCCAGAGACAGTTGTAAGCACTGTGTAACTGCCTCGAGGAAGCTTGACCATTTTAACACAACGTGGTGCGATCATCCCCCGTTGCGCGGAGTGAGGTTTCTCGACCCCGCACAACATGATCTACTCGACCACCATTATGGTTACCGCCAAAAAAAAAAAACCGAGGTAAAAAAAAAAAAAACGGTAACCTGGTTGCCGAGTTCACGAAGTGAATTGGCTTCTTTTACAACGTCGTTGCCAAGCGACGAAAACCCAACCCCGATGGCAAACACCGAGTGGGCGGCTGGTTTTACAACGTCGTTGCCA